TTCATCCTGTGTGGTTCGCTCCTGATTTCACTCTATCTTATCCTGTTCTCTCTGTGTTTATGTGTCTCGTTCACCAATTACAGTAAACCGCAACTTATGACCATTCACTTCTGGGTTTTTTTTTGTTTTTGTTTTTACTTTTTCCTCCTCCTCCTCCTCCTCAGTGTCCATACGGCCAAGTCAACGTGAAGGATCCAGCGGCGAGGAAACGCTTTAACTCCCTGTTTTATGTATAGGCCTTACAAACTTGAGCCAAAGGGAGAATTTAAGAGCCTGTTTAGAATGGAGTGCATGTTGCTTGTCTTCTGGCTGTCGTTATTTTGACTACTTGAGTCATTTTTTATCAGTGTACTAAATGATGAAATATGACTGGTGTCTGTGCAACACTTACCTCCTATGAATCACAACTATTCTCAGGAATATTTTATTCTCCCGGAAGATTATAAGGAAGAAGGAGGAAAGGATTTGTTCAATGGAACCTTATCTAAAAAAAAAAAAAAAAAAAAAAACTCTTTTATCGTGGCTTTTTGGTCGTTGTTTTCACATAGGCTTTTCAAATAACTAATTATATTAAATCTAATTTCTCCCTTTTGTTGTTATTGAACTTTCTATAACACGCGGCCTGTTGCATTCACCGAGGTCAAACGTGGAGATGAGAACTGAGAGACACCGTGGTGGAGCTCTGCCCTCAAGACCAAGGGGCGCATGAGCGAAACTCACTCCACATCATCAGACGTGGAGTCTTTTTGCTCTTTTGCATTCCATCCCTCGTTATATTTGCCTCCCAAACGCACCGCGGCTGAACACGGCTATTTGCATTCACACATGTGCTCGACTGAACCGTCTACCTCCGACTGAAATACTGTGCTGTTAAAAATAGGCAGGGGGCCAAAGGCCGGCCCTCACACTTGGCTGTGCTGCTTTTACACCACTTGATGGAATCAGGCTGTTAACAAACATGCCATGGACATCAACGGCAGCCCTCCCCACCGGACTCGCAGCTCAGCCTCCTGGCAACACTTGGCTGCGGCGCAGCTCCCTGCAGCTGCTCTCCTGAGCCGCAGCCTAATGAACTCCTGGGCCCTGATATCCCAGCACTGCAATAGATCAGCTCATGTTCAGGAGCATGCTCAGACCCACACATGCATAGGCAGCCTTACTCCATCACAATACCCCGTGGCTCCTAATAGGCCAATATAGAATAAAGGTTGCACTGAGCGCTGCACTTACAGTAGCCCACAGTAATAGTACAAGGTAGGGTCAAGCGCTCACACAGCAGTGTGTGTGTGTGTGTGTGTGTGCAAGGAAAGATGTGCCACTTGATTTGTGAGTGCATGTGGGTAGGCAGCACGGTGCCTTCGGGCGCCGGGCTCTTAACCTGCCACACACACTCACCCGTCTCCGCCTGATTGGGCAAACAGCGTCAGGATGAGAAGATGTGTCTGCCAAGGAATTCTGTCGCAGCCGCCCACTGCATGGCGCAACCACAATTTTCCTCGGCAGCCGGGTCCCAAAGGCAAGTGCCGAGTGATCGGAGCAAAGCCCTGTGAGCGGCTACAAGGAGATTCATGATCCCAGCAGTGCTGGAGAGGACAGGTTCTCGGGGACGAGTCGTCAAATGGGATGAGAGGCGAATTTATTTGGTGTTATTCTAAACCGAGGCAGCGAAGCGTGCGGCAGCAACATTTCAGCAGCGGGACGGTGAAGGTGTCACACTCATCAAGTACCTGGGCCCGCTTCCCTGCCGCGGCTCCGCGGCTTTTGCCTAGGGACTTGTCTGTCACATTAAAGTAGATGCATTGCCATTCAGGGCCTCGACAGTCCCGCAGCCTGACCATGAAATAGGCCAACTTTCATGTCTGCCTCATCCACATCCACATCCCTCCGATCCAGTGATGGCACAATTTGAAATGTTTTTTTTTTTTTTTTTAACTCGTCATATTCGAACCCAGCAGTTGGACGTAAATACAGCACAGCAAGTTTCAACAGATTTATGGAGGAGTTTAAGTGGAAATGTGCCCCATAAGGTGTGAATGTAAATCATCCGTGGTCTGTTCACTGTTACGTTTTCTTGCATTTTTAAAGCATTAGTGTTAATTGTTCCAGAAGTATTGCTAACCCTAACCATTTGTCTGACAACGTAACAATAATAAAAACACAGTTTGAAAAAAAAAACAATGATAATGAACAAAATATATAACTGTATATACAGTATATAAGAGTGGCTGTATCTCATCATGGACTTTTTTCAAATATCAATAATGTCAAAAAAATGTCAATAAAATAAAAAAAAAGTAACTTTATAACTGTCTATGAAAAACAAATCCTCTTTTTATAAATGTTTTGGGTCGTCTCGCATCATGTTTCCAAGGAGTTTACGAATATTCTCTATTGACTTGGGTTGCGAAGGTTTGTGAATTTTTTAAATATGGGTCCCCAGAAAAAAAGTTTGGGAAACTCTGGTCTAAGTTTACAGGACAATCAGCCAAAACAGCAGTGTTTAAAAGTAACTCCTGTTGGACAGATTTCAACGGAGCTCCTCAAGAGACACAAGAGGGGGAAAAAAAACAATAAATAAACCTTCCTGGTTACGTTTCTGGTGCGCACGGTAGCAGAATCGACGTGAGTAGGTGAACCTGAAACCTGAAACTTTCTGGTGCGCACCATGAAGTTTTATTTTTTCCCCCATGTCTCTTTAGGGACTCCGTAGTTTTCACTCTTCTGCATCATTTCCCATCATGCTTCATTATCTATTTTCAATATTTGAATCAGTTTTTTTTTTATACTTCTACAGAATCGAAAGATTCTGGAGTTTGAGACTGAAACTTTAACATAGAAGTAACCCTGGAGCAGGTGAACCCATCTGGCTCTTTGTCCAGGTTCTTAAATACAGTCACACATTTCCAGTACACACACACACACACCACAGTATTCCCACAGCACAGATGAGCTCCCAGGTTACTACAGCCAACCAGACGTGAGGCGTTTATTTCAGGCATTTTTGGACCAAACATCTCTGACCTTCAGCTGGAGCATATGCTGCTCTGGAGCGGAGCGGCGGCTCGGCAGCGGAGCGGCGGCTCGGCAGCGAGCGCGGGATTTCCACGGGATGATGGCACTGGCCGCAGAGAGCTGTCCAGTTTGGATCAGTGACCGTACAGGCTCTGGTCACAATCACTTAACAGGCTGAGCACCCCCCCCACTCACACCCCTCCCCCCTCCTCATCTGCTACACCCCCATCTCCATCACAAACACGGACACAAGAGCCCTGCGGCCAGTGGCCCAAACCGTGGTTGCTTACAGTGACTCCATCACGGTTGGCCAGAACAGCCGGGGACTGACACTGTGTTGGTGTAGAGATGAGGGGAGGGGGGTAAAGGGGGGGGGGTGAGTGTCAGCCCTGTGATGACTGAAAGGAACATCACTCTCAGCGATTGGCAGAAGGAAGTGCTTTGCATGTTTGCGTACGTGAGCGCACGCACGTGCGGATCCGTGCGCGTGCCTCCGTGCGTCTTGATATTCAAGCAGGATTTGAGCAGCCCCTACATCAACGTCTGGTCCTTCTACACAGGCAGTGTCAGCTGGCCTCGGGGCAGCAGCCTCCACACTGGTCAGATGGACAACCAGATCCCTGTGGTTGAATTAGTGATAAAAAACACACATGGCCACTGAGTGACAGTCAGAACATCAGATTCCTTTGGACAAACAGTTCTGCAAATAGCACAGAGGACACTTTCTGCCTCTGACCGCAACTGGTGGTCATGCCCATGCAAGGCCGTGTCATGGCTGCCAGATGAGCCCAGATAAAAGAGAGAGAGAGAGAGAGAGAGAGAGAGTCCGGGCGGCCGCACGAGCCCGAGGAGCACTTTGGCCTGTTTACTCACCCCAGGAGTCGCACTGATGTTATATTTGTCGTTTCCTGTCTTCACTTTGAGGAGCAGTGATGTGATTTGGGTTATTTTTTTTTTTTTAACAGTCTGACCCTTGATTTATTTAACGTTGCCTTTTTTTTTCTTTCTTTTTTTTTTGACTCCTTGGTGAACAGTGGAAACAGGAAACGTTCCAGCTGAGACAGCTGCAGCTCAGCAGGTGTGCTGTTGGTCTTCCACCCAGACAGCTTGGTGTTGGTATCCAACTGCATGCTGATGTGTCCCTGGGCAAGACACCTCGTCTCCTAGTTGCACGAGGTTGCGTCACGAAGAGCATCCGGCTTTCTTTTTTTTTTTTTTAAACTAAAAAAAAATCCATGCCAACATCACAATTCGGATTACCTGCTGTGTCAACTCCAGACGAAGGGTGCAAGCCAGCGGCTGAATATTTCTTTGAGAAAAACAACAACATATAAAAGCGTGGAGGCTAACCTGTGTTTCTCCTCCAGAAAAGGCTGCTCTGCCCCCATAAGGTTATGTAGCGGTAAAGAACATCCATCTATTATGTTTCCATGTCCTTTCTAGTGTGGCCAGATATGGACTAATATGTGCACCATTCCTCAGGAGGATACTCGGTCCCCAGAGGAGATGGAGGGTGTGTGTGTGTGTGTGTGTGTGGAGGTGTTGGTGTGCAGTTGGAGCTGTTCTGGAGGCAGGGAGGGGAGGCAGGCAGCAGTTGGTGTGCAGAGAGCAGAGGCTCAGGCTGGCTAGTTAAGAGCTTCTCTCTCCTATCTTCCATCTGCCAGGGACCGGGGTTGTGATTTGAGCTCCAGCAGAGCA